TAAAATATCACTTTACAAGTTACCAGGAGAAATGGCTGATAAACTCATGGAGAATTCTAAAAGCTGATTTAATCAAATTGAAGCATGCACTGAAGATGTTGCCTAGATGAGTAGATGTTGAAACCTTCGCAACTAAACCATCCAGCTTAGAGAAGACACAACTGCACCAATTTACTGCTGTGTTGATAACAATGCAGGATTTTATAGGCAGTACTCAATACAGTTTCAAAGACTTTTGTAGCTGTAGGGTTGTTTGATGTTTATTGTCTAATCAGAGAAATAAAGACACTGGTATCTAAAACGTGATTAGCTGAGAGAACCGACAGGATTACCAACATTCAATGCCTTTGAAGCTGTGCAGTTGTATTTATGCACAATCTAAAGTCTAAGTCCAAAAAGTTGACAGTTTCACTATCTAATTCTTTAGTTGTTTTTCGTGAAGTCTGAAATTTCCTGTTGTTGTGGGCACAACGTATCGATTACTCTTATCATATACACCTCTGGAACAGATGTCTAGACATGGTCTTAATAATAACCTTAAGATTATTTTACTCCACACTGAATTTCATGACATAAATTTCATTCTACTTGGATCTCATCATCTGGATGCACTTGTATTATACTGATGGGTAGTAATGAGGTTAGGCGTACACTGCTAGGTAAGGAAGGAAAGACAATCGATGAGGTTATAAAGCTATTGAAATCAATAGGATACGTGTTACGCATGCCAAACCACCACCTTTCTCAAGGGACAATGACAGCTGATACAGGATTAGGTTGCAAAAGAGTTTCCAGATGGTCAAGAAAATCCTGAAATCAGTCCACAAAGTCTTTTGCTGCTGGTTTGAGCCACGTAAGGAGGTGTAGACTGCCTGGTTGGGGTCCTCAGGATTCTAAGAGCCAAAGGTTGGAGACTATTGGTGATAAGACTCAAAATCGTTCTCGATAGGGTAGATGCCTTCACTCCTTTATCCATTTAACCCGCATGTTTTCCCATATAACTATTCTTTCTTCCTCATATTTCTGCTCATTATACTTCGTCTGAATCTCATTCTTATCTCTTTTCTTTACCTTTGTGTGCTCTGTGTGGTATGACACCTGGAACTAATATATTTCCTTGCAAAATTCTATGTTGAAAATTAAATTAAAACGAAAAGCACATTCCAAACTTCACCAGTTATGTTAAGTTCACATTTCATCATCAGATTTATTGTGTAGCTGGGCGTAATCCTTTGGGTTCAGTGCTAAGTGAAAAGGTATATTTTTATAAGGGACATGCCGATGACATCATAATTATATGTGACAGGCTGACGGATGCCAGAGGAATTTTTAATTGGATGAAGACAATACAGAACAGCATATCACTAACATGTGTGAGCGGAAATAGTGACTGTTTAATCCTGTTACTTTTTATACAGTTAAGATTCATTGATAATTATGGGGACTAATGAGATAATCTGTGTAAATGAAGACAATATGTAGGAAACAGTGTCCAAACTACTGTAGTTTCTGTCCATTCCAGCAATAAAAGGCATTAGTTAAATGTTTTTTCAAAAGGATTCACTGAATATGTACTCAGGGTACTACTGGATAAGTGCAAAATATTATTAGATAACAATCGTCCTCCTGATTTCATTAAAGGCTATGATGGCGTAATATGAAAGGCTTCAATAATCTAGTCAACCCCGAAAAATTATGTCTACATTACTTCACCTTCCATGGGTGACTCATGAAGTCTGATAACCAAAAACGGACTTGAAGTGGCACTATATAGATCTCACTGTACACCCAAACTCGTATTTACAGAGGAAAAAAATTTACGCCATCTTGTAAATTCTCATCGGATCACATTTCCTTTAGCAGTCTACCTTTATGTATGGTCACATACACCGATGGACCATCAATCAGTCTCTGTAGGTTATGGCTATAGAGTACAGTCAAAGGTGTCTGAAAGGCAAAATGAAATCATCTAACCCAAATGACCCTGGAAATAAATAAAAGGAATGAATATACAGATTAATTAAGGTCAAGATAAAAATAGGGATTATGATAATTTGATACAGACACATTAAGAGCATGAAAGAAGAAGAGGTTAAACAAACTTCTATGTACAGATATCTTGCTTCTCTGTTTCGAAGGCTAAATCTTCAGGAACACAGATTATCGGGACATGTAATGATATAGGCAGGTTTTTTTTTTCGCCTTGTAGTTGATCAGTGTCGACTATATGTACAGATATTGCGCCTCTTATAGCTCCACTTCCAGTTATTCGTAACCACGCAGGACAGTGTTCTTGAACACTTTTAGATAAAACCCACATCAAACGACCAACATACCTGGCTCCATAAAATGACAAAATCCTTTAATTAACCGTTAGTGTTCGTTGTCAGTGAAAAAAGGGTTACATAGGCTATATTTATGAATAGAGTTGGTGGAATGAATTGATTCATTACAAATGTATTGATTATTTAATACTGACTCCCAATAACAACTTTCCAATTTTGGTGATATCCGAAGTAATAATTTTTACTAAAAATATGTGCATGTATCAGTTCACCTCATTCTGTGAAGCCAGATATATTGTTCGTCCAATGAGTATCCGGTCTAAACAGGTTCAAGAACACTATCCAGCAAAGTTTCAGAAAGGTAGAAGAGGCTGCACAATACGTGCTATAATTGAACAGTTTGTGAACGCTGTTCAGTCTAGCGTAACAAATCCCTCCTTCAAAGTGACCTACAAAATGAAGAATAATATGCAAAAGATATTGCTCTTTAGTCTGCTTTGCATAGCTGCAGCTCTAGTTGTCCAGATGCAAACCGGAGCTTTTCATACAGAAGGTAATTATTCAAACACATCTATTATTATGGTAGTGACCTTGTTGTTTTCAACCAATTTGTTTTTCTAGTCCATTTATTCTTTCGAAATCTCACGTGGTGCAACATTTTCTTTGTCTCTATTTGCAGCTTGATTACTTCTCATTCATTAATTGTGTCCTGTTACGTAACTCCATCACCATTATTCAAATTCGATGTTTCAGGCTTGATCACGAGCTGACAGAAATCAGAGAGCCATCGGAAGAACAGGGAGTACTAGAGAGCTGTTTAATCCTAACTTGAGGTTCTTCAACAGTACGCGCCCACCGGGGTTCAAACCCAGGACCTCCTCAGTTATAAGGCAAGTCCGTAGACCATTTAATCAGCGGCACTCGATCCAATAAACGCGATTGCACCACTAAAGAAAATCAAATCTCTGGAAAAAGCCTCTTTGTCTGCCATCTGATCAGCCCCACTTCAACATATGATTTCAGGACATTATGAGCAGTCGACAACTGGCTGACTTCTGTCCTATCTTGGTTGGTAAATTTCAAATGTGCATAGCACATGTTCATGATCAACAGATCTTGCGATAGTATGAATTACCACAATTCAATGAATTTACTATATATATCATGATTATCTTCCGAGTTTCTCTACACTCATCAGTTAACTTTACGCACAAACAGAAAATCAAGCTTAAGCTGGACTTCGTTACGAACTGACACCTTCCATAGAAACATTGAAAATCATATGCGCATCGCATACCTATTTCTACAATTTCGGGAATCTTTAGCAGCAAATACCGATAATCCTGCAAGGGATGATAACCACATTCATAACATTGAGGAAAGAGCATTTCACTAATCAACTAGTAGACGTAAAACCAACAAACACTGATTTCCAAATTCCATGGTTGGTGAACGTTCACGACAAAATATCTAGCCGCAAAACAATCAGACCTTCACAAATCAAATAGTTGAGTATCAATCAGCTACTAACAAATAGGGGCTACCTCCAAGGGATTCTAATAAGAAGTGGTGAACAACGAATTCGAACAAGCGATATATGTGAAAGACAGCAATCAATAGAAATTCAAAATCAAGAGTCACTGGATTCTAATCCACAGATAAAATTGTGAAATGCACGTTTTGCACCCTGATAGTCTGGATTTCTGTCGTTCGCAAGATAGCCAATATTGTCACTGTTGAAAAGTCTAAAACTATAACAAAACAATCGTTCGATACATCTTAGTTTACAACTTTTCTCTAGTTTACATCGCTTAATGTAGAACCCAACATCTGAATGGGAAACCAAAGAGTATTTTGACAATTAAATATCAATTACTTTATACCGCCATTGATGAATTCATAAGACAATTAAACATACTCCAGCATGATACCCTGTTAGATTGAACTATCATTATCGTCATAATCGCAGGACAAAACGCATCACTGACAAGATGAAACCCACATTTATTTTGTAATTAACAATAAACGGTCTATAACTTCAGCCAACACAGTAAAGTTTTTAGCAACAAAACAAAATAGTAACCCCAGTGAAACTAACAAATGCATTTTCTCAAAAAGCAGAAGAGAAGGCAACGTAAATCGTCATTCACTTACATTGTAAGCCTGATATAAGCTCAACTCCAAATACAATCTCCATAATTGCTAAAATAATATATAGAGCCGCTTTGATACTGACTTACCTACTTTACTTACAGAATAAATGATACAGACAAAACAACTTTGATTGACTTAAACAAAAACACCAACTGTTCTTCGGGTAAAAATTACATATGTACAAACTCATATATAAATATATATAGAAAAGAAGGCAAAACAAATATTATTTGAAAAAGAATAAACAAAACGTCGAAAGAAAGAAAATACACGGTCGAATAAAAAAAAACATTCTCACACCAAGTTGATTATTTGCGATAAATTGTTTAAATCAAATGTTTAACTTTTCTCAGACTAAAAACAAAACAATGAAGACTGAAAGTGTGAACATACTGTGTATTCTGTCTCAGCTGATTACTTCTCATGTCTTCGTATTACAATTTTTCATACTGATGGTAGAGATTGAGTATGAATATTGAAATCCCTCTGTACGTACCAAAAGTTCATTTGTACTGCTGCCATTCGTTCCTCTATCAACTTCTCAATAATATATTTTGGGTCTCACAACAATGAGAAATATCAACAGGATTGGTTATGCATGAGCGTATTTGTGTATGTGCGTGTGTGATTTCCCAGTCATCTCGATAAAACACCGCTAACAATGATAATGTATTGACATTTTTGGTGTTATTTTGGTACAAATGCCGTAAATGTAGTGAAAACGAGATTATTTTTATGAAGTAAAAACAAAAACATTCACTGAGCAAATTAGTTACAAGTAGAAAAGCAGTCAAACAGTAGAAATGGATATAGAAAGAATTTAGACCAAGGCAATAACAACAACACAATGGGACACAACACGTGAGATCAATTGGAAAATAATGAAATAAAACAAAACAAGGAATATTAAACAAATGCTTATCATGATTGTTGTCAAGAGAGGGAAAAAACAAAAAGGGAAAAGGAGAGAGGATTAGGTAACACGATTACTACTGTGAGTAACGATCAGTTATAAATGGACAAATCGCATATATTTCATTCATTGCCAAAAGAAAGAACAAACATTGTATTAGTTGATGCACAATAAATGCACTGAGTACAGATTGTCAAAACTGAACGGATTTAGATGTATTGAATACCATTTATAATATTACTTAGATATGTATAATCTACTACTATTGTTAGTAGTATGCAGTGAAATGAAGAAAAAAGGGTCGGCAGAATAGTGAAAAACTTAAAGTAAAAATCATATGCAAAAAGTGAAAAAACAAACAAACAGCTGATAACATTTCAAAAGCACAAGGAAAATCACTTAGAGTAATTGGTCACCTCTCTTCCTCTTCTTGTCTCTAAACACGTTGACCAGGTATATGACCATGAAATGATAACGGTGATGATAATGATGACGACTTTCCATTGTTTCGTAGGACAATACAACCAATGAATATAAGAATTAAGGCTAATGCAGCGCCCACAGCTATACAGACAACTTCACCGCTTGTTAAACGCATTGGTCTTTCACCGCCTAAAAAGTGTGAGGAAGAAGAAAACAAATGGTGTTTTATGTTAAAAGATTAGCGCTAAAAACTGTAAACATTTACATTGCCGACAAATCAAATGATTCAGAGGAAATGCATGAAATAAGAGTCATGCACACTACTATTATGGCATACCATTTCACTATCATTTAACTGTATTATTGGCTAATTTTTTTGTAAGGGGAAGAGGTGAATCAAATGGAACACAGCATGTGTATTTATGACCACTTTAGAAAGGAGATCAAATTTTTAGATTACAAGATAAGACACAAAGAGTATCGATGGTGTCATCTAGCTGACGAGTCCCAGACAGGACAAAATACACATCCTGAATTCCACTGTTAACCACTATTAACTGAATAAAAGGATGTTAAACTTCAAACATGGTCGAAAAATCCCAACTAAGAGCCAAGTATTTCAACAGGGACCAAGCACTACGGTACAGTTATAACTTGAACAAATCATGCGAAGTCACTTGGAGAAGTAATAGATTTTAGGAGTAAGCTAAGGAGAGAGAACACTCAAACTTCGTAAATTTTATAATAACCAATTCGTTTCAATACGCTCATATAGCCGAAATGATACAATTCCTTTAGGATTGAAGAATTAAGATAAGGTCTTCATGAAATTCTTTCCACTGAATGAAAAACTAAAAACAAGAACAATAAATGTAACAGGCAAATCTGAGCTCATTTTCGAAATTTGGCGGATTTGTTTCAACTTCTTCAAACACCTAAACATAATCAAAATATACAGATTGCAGAACGGGGTTAGAGCACATTTTTATCACGTTCACTATGTGTTATTCACATAAGAGTTATAAGTAATAAAAGTCAAGAATAATATGAGTGATTATGTAACTAAACGTTAACAGAATTGACTGTTTATAGAATAATTAGACAAATGCTCTGAAGAAAAATGATGGTTGTTCACAATATGGGAAGAAACAATGTTTAACTAGGAATAATAGTAAGTAATAATAATAATAAGTAAGTAATGATAGAAATAGTAAGTCAGCATTATAAGAAATTGAAAAGAAATTTGCATATTACAAAATAAATCAGATCAGATTATTATCCTGTTCGTCGGTGGCACAGCAGCAGAATGCTCGCCAACCACGCAGATGGTTCGGGGTTCGACCCCCGGCCGACGCACTCCTTTACGTCGCCAAGCCAGTATTAAGGCTGGGCATGAGGCCAGCAACCGCATCCTATAAAAATAAATACCACTGCTACCGGAAGTTCAAAGCTGTAGCTTGAAGCCCTATTTCCCAGTGGGAATGTAAAGGAGTAAAAAATTGTTATCCTGCTACATTTATTGGCCTTTAGAAATAAAATAATTTTCTATGATCTTCTTTTTGGTTTTCCAACTTGGATTGCTTTAGCTCCTTAAATCAAATCCCTAAAAACCAACACCTGAAAATTCATCTCATTCTTACTAGGGACTGACTACAGGATGAAGTTTTCTGGAGTTCTAGTGAGAACTCGTAACCAATGGGGGTCCCAATAGGTCAGATTTGAGGATATTGGAGGTGATACCATAAGTAGCGAATCGACATAAGTTAGAATTCATGGGTCATTGCATTCCGTCCCAGTGGTTAAATGGTCAACAGGTCGACCTTGTATTCTAAAGGTCCTGAGTTCGAACCCTGTGTGGAGACAGGAACTAAGATGGAACAGCTACCCAGTAATCTCTGGTCCCCAATGGTTTTCTAACTGATGTCATTCCGCGATTTAACTTGAAACCAGTCAAATCCTTGCATACCAACACTTGTAAAAATAGTATATTTCATATTATGAACAAACAGGGACAGCTTTCACTGGTGAGTACCTGTAAAGAAGAAGAATATTATTTCTGGAGTGATTGTGTTTTCTGAGGGTAGGTGGTTTAATTGTCAGGCCTTTGCTGTCCTCCTTCATGGACAGTCAGTGGATATATGCTTACACGCTTCAGTGGCTGTTACCGTCCATTTCACTAAGGTATATCGTATTAAATTCATGGAGAATAGCAAAAGTGATAGGTTGAAATGTTTTTATAAAGTGCGCTAGTAGAAATAATACGAATTAAGGTCAATATTTGATTGATTAGAACAAAATAGAAAAGGAGAAGTTCAAAACAATGTGTTTAGTGGAGGAGGGTATTTTGGTAGCCCATAGTCCAGGTAAGCCGTTAGTAACAGTGCATGTTGTCAAACATTTGCAAGGTATATTTGTAATCTTGGTGAAAACGTATGACCCCCTCTAAGATTTAAACTTATATCAGTCAGTTTGTAGTCACGGTCTATTACTACTACTAACCTATTTCAACTTTCAGCTCTGTTCATTTATGGTCCAGCAGCATACCCTTAACCTAATTTTCAAGTCTATTGTCAATTAACGTGAAAGACTACAAACGTTAACAATTTCTGCTTTTTACTCTCCCTGAAATTCTGAAGCTATTTCAGTTCCACTGTGGAACTATATACCACGAGTTGGCAGAATTTATAATTCATAGGTTATCAGAATTCGTCCCAAGCAGCTAAATGGTCAACGAGCTCAACTCGTAACCTGAAGGTTCTTGGTCCGTACTGATGAAGAGTTCATAACTAGGACTAAACAGCTGTTCATTACTCCCTGGTTTTCAATGGTTCTGTAACTGATATCAGTGCGCCATCAAACTTGGAAAATAGAACAGTAAAAACAGAACATACTGAGTAAACACATCATCCTTAAATTTAAAACACAATAACTAATGCGATGCGGATAGGGGAAAAAGTACAGATGCCATGCAAAACATTCCAAAAAAGCAGAAAGGCGGCAAGCATTTACACATAAATGTTTTAATTTTTTTTTTCAAAGTTTTCATAACCAATAATCACCATACGAATTTCCTCTGACAACTTGATAACCGCATTTCATGCCTCAGTTATTTATTTATTATCTAATGTGTAACATGCTAACACAATCATTAAGAAACATTACATTCAACCAATCGGCAAAATAAGACGATAAATGCATTCCGCTGATTAAAATACGAACAACATACGTCGTCGAACACGTTCTTTACTGATTTCATTTGTTGGTATTGTTTGTTTTATTATATCGAGTTTATCTGAATAGAATTCAGCAAATTAGTATCATAAAAGCTAGCTGAGTTGATGAAATAGTCATACACATTGAAAACTATAAAAAATATACATGATTTCAACGAATTCAATAGTTCAGCGGTTAATGTTACACATCTCAAAGGTATATATATATATATATATATATATATGCATATTAGAATAGGATATAAGTAGAATAAGCCTGTTAGGTAAGCACACTAACAAGATGCAGTCTTCCGGAAGATTTGAATGATAAGTTGCGAATGTTCCTCACTTTTTGCACGTAAATTCTTGTGTCAGTGCTAATCTATAGAGTGACCTCAGATTTCTTACCTGCAACAATACACTGTTTTAAAAAAAAATTTGTTCTACATTTTTTTCCAGGTAACTTGTACTACTACACGGTTATATACGCTGCTTTACCCATGATGTGCACCTTTCTGTTAATCATTTTTTTTCTCAAGAAGTGTATCTGATTGAAAAGTTTAAGGAAGGTTTTGCCGCTTTCAGGATTTCCATTCGTAGAAGTGGAATTTGTGATTGCATTCTAATAACTAACTTTAGTGGGAGTAGTGCTTTTCTCAACACTACACTATACAATCTGCTTCTAATCAGTAGACTAATTTTGCGTTTCTTTTTCAACCGGTTGGTTAACCACTGCGCTCATAGATATTGAACACTGGATAACCGTATCTTGAATGGTTAATCTGCTGATCAAGATCAATCAATTGTTTGTTTTTCTGTGAGCATGAAAACCCCGACAGGCCAAAGAAATAGGAAAATAGTAGCATGTATACTTCGAAATCCGACAATTCTCAGCTTTATCTCACTACTGAGGATATTTCAACCAGCAGATTTGGGTTATTAGGTAGTACACCACTAACTCTCATATGAAAGATGTAATTTATTGTCCAATACATAAACATCTATCCATATGACGCTACTGAGTAACAATTATTGTTTTTAATTTGGAGAATTGTGCACTATACTTCTTTTCGGAATTATCTGGTTAATATAAAAGATTATGATACTATGATGCGTTGGTGGTTTGGTAGTGAAATGCTAGCCAGCCGAGTGAGAGTCACGAGTTCAATTTCTCGCTTAGCTGGTAGTGAACCCGTTAAAGAGGGAAGGTTGAGTGTGAGGCAATCAACCCCACCCCGTAAAAACAAAACATCACCGCTACTGAAGGTGCAAAGCTTGAAACCTCATGTTTCACTCGAAATGCAAACAAGCGGGGATAAAATGATACTGTAATGCTAAAACTATAGGCTGATGGTTTTCAATTTCTTTTACCGAATCGTCTTCTTTTAATGCGATCATTTTTAAATCTTTAAAGGTAACAACACTTTTTTCTCTCCACCTGAATGTGTGCTTTTATGAAGTGTGACTAGTAGAATTGCTACACTTTTTTGCACAGACCTGCGCTGAAAATTCGGTCTAAGGCAGTGATCTATCTGAGAGAACCTTGTTTTCTTGCCCCACCTTTCCTTCACTCTTCAACATAGTCGTAGTGACTGAGTGAAGTGATGCAGCTACATATAAGCAGGCTGTGTTTCGTTTCCTCTACCTTACAATAAGATAAATTCGCCTGAAGGCTTAAAAGAATTATAATTGACTTTTTTTTCTCTTCAATTATTTTATATTATTTGTTTGTTAGTATGATTTTATGCCTATGTTCAATAGACACTAGATTGCTTCATTCAGATAGTAAACTTTACTGTACAACACACACTATGCATTATATTGTTGTATGCGCTTACCTCTGAATAAAATCTAATTAAGGCGCATACATAAATGCTAATTAATACCTAATAATTTATGCAAAATCAAAGGGTAGAGAAGTACAACACAATTAGCTACAACAAGTGTTTATTAACAAGAAGGTATTTATTCTCATTATTACTGTCATTATTATCATAATTATCGCATAGAAATATGAAATTAAGTAAACCGGCGCCAATCAAAACATTACTGATTTGTACATGGGAGAAGAACAGTTCAATTAGAATCATGTCATACTACTACAACAACAACAACAACTATTCAGTACTAGAAACAAATTTAGGACATTAGCAAAAACAGATAAACATTATGAATATACCTCTGCATTGCAAGAAAACTTTAGACATCTTGCTTGTTCAGTGCTGGAACTCACTTCAAACGCAACAAATTTCTCATGTATCAGTGTCTATGAGCCAAACTTATTGTGTGAGGTTTGCAGAGAGTGAAGTTGGTGGAGTGGGTGTTGAATGCTTAGACCAATGAAACACTTCCTTTACTGTTCATTCAATAATACTTTTCTAATTTTTGTTTTACAAAGTCGTATAAAATCTCACGCAGAATATTCAATTATCAGATAGTGAAAGGATAACCAGCATTTAATTCTCACTGTAATTCATCTTTGTTGAATGAAATACTAAATTTGTAATGCAGTAATTAGACTTGTGCGTCAGTGGTTCAATGGTAGAATGCTTGTTAACCACAAAAGAGGTCCGGATTTGATTACCAGCCGACACACCTCCATACATCCCCTAGTCGGTGGTAGTAAGATCAATAAGCGAAGGAAGGTTGGGTGGGAGGCTAGCAAACCCATCGCGTAAAAACAATATCAACATTATCGAAACTCAAAAGACCTAAAGTCTTATGTTCCACTCAGAATTCAAAGAATAAAAAAGGTTATACTGATATGTCCAAATAAAACTACCCTGATTCCATTGGAAAACAGACATAACAAACAGTAGACCTGGTTATCGGTCAGAGTTTTGCTAAAACTCATCGAAGCCATTGTTCAAGGTTGTAAATGGTATGCACATACTGCTAATCTATTCAACATCAAATTGTCCAAAATGTAGTTGAATGCCTCTAAAAACAATGTGTTTTGTTTTCCTATCCAACGACTGCTGTGTTGCCGCATAAATCTACTACATAGTTTAGATAGCAACATTTTAGAAAATATTTATACAACCCAGTTTTAAAGCTAATAACACAAACAACCATTTCAGTAACATAATAAAACAATTTATTACTAATGTAAATAATGTCACAGGATATCTAAATTATTAAACAAACAATGACTAATTATTCTTTGTAGGCACATTGCATCTACACGATAATTATGTTGTACAGTACAAATCACTTAAATAAACTAGTTCCTATATCAAATCTGACAAACACTAAGCAACTACTTTCATATTAGTTTGTTTATTAGGTATATCACACAGTGAAACAGTATTATTATCTGATAAGTAACTACTGTCTGGTGTGCATAACTGGAAAAGCACTCACGTCAAACACCAGAGCTTTTGTTAACCAGATTGAAGTGGTCTAAAGCATCATACACGGCAGTTGGTTTGACCGAATCGGTTAGACCACCTGAATTCCTGCTAGCTAGTTGGATGGACTGGTACTGTGGAGTATAGAATTCGTGATTTACACATTATTCAGTTCAAGAGGAAATTTAAGAAAATATTCAGATCACAATTTGTTATATGCTGGATGGCGTACACTAGTGATTTATATGACTAGTTGGAAACCCTTCGCCCCCTCCCCTCGCGCCATCAACCAGTAGTACTTCCTAGCCAGATCAAAGTGACTAAAATGCTAGACGGCTATTTCGCTCATTTAAGGTTGAGTTCAACAGCAGTGTAACCTACGTAGAATTAAATGCCATGTAATAATTCACAAAGTCAATTTCAATCTTAAAATGTGACAACGCGAATAGAGTTTCTTTGCACAACTTAGTGGTCACAGAAAACAGGATTTCAGTAATAAAGATACAAGTTAACTGTTATGTTTGATATAATTGCATTTGGAGAAATAGTGGGTTCATGAGTATTTTGGTTGAAATAATACTTCTTCCAGTGAATTTATTTTTAACAGTTCACTAGCTATTGTGTTTGTGGTAAGAATAAATCTGAGTCTGTGTAAACCTTACAAACAAACGGGAAATATCCTTGATAAATCTAAAAAGATAATTTTTCAAAGACTTATCAAATTGATGAAATTTCATTTTCATTTCTGGCAAAGTTAAAGTATCATAGCCAAAGTCAAGGTCTATCAAAAGTTGGTCTTCAAGAACCAATCAGATCCAGGGAAGGCTATGAAAGATCATTCCAAATCAAATCATGCATGCATTTTTGGATTTGGCGAGGGTAGATACAGTATTCCAATTATTCTCTAGGTACTTTCTCCGCAAATCTATACTGTTAGGTGGAGATATTGCTTTAAAGATTAGGGAGTGGGGTTAAGGTTAGAATTAGGGTTAAAGTTAGGAGTAGATTAGGAAAGACTGTCAGAAATATCAAGGGCTATCAAAGTACCATGACCTGCAGTCACCTGATTGAATGCATCCATAGCGCATGGTATAATTTCTGTATAGATCATCTGTTTAACAACTGAGAGACATTTTTACAACTCATATGCGACAATTATGTGCTGTAATATCATGTTTTCAATGTTTTGAAGCATTTTTCAAAGATTATGCGACTTTTTTGTATCTGAGTTCTAAATGGTTGTTCAAGGTCAATGCGATTTTGGCTATGATAGTTTAACTTTGCCTCATTTCTTATATCGAGAATTGGTTAAATTAACAGAATATTTTATAAGATGCACGGAAATTTCTATTCATCAGCTTTATAAAACTCAGGCACTCACTAATTTATTCCCCGAGATCAAATCTAAGATGTTTCTTAAATCCAATGCGTAATTATTAACAACTAAACTACTTTGAATAAAGCAAGAACAACAGTTTTCACAGAATAACATGGTACCATCATTTATTTTGTTGGCTTCTCACCAGCTGCTTACAACCTAAATAAATTATTAAATTTATGTACAGAATGTACAGATGCCATTACCAGGCGTCTCTTTGAAACTGATCACGAGGCGGAAATCGCAAAATCCTTTGAAATTATTAACAGACAGTCCTTTTCAAGTTTGCAGAAGCAATCTCTATTATACGCTTGAAACCCGATTTATGTGTACAGAAAGAAGCAGTTATCAGTCTTTCCTTGCCCATCGTGGTAACTGGGTGTCTTTATTCTCCCTTTCTTTTGATTACGTAACCTTTGGTTTTAACCTCACCACACTCCTTTGATATAGTGCAATTTTGCTTGTCTCTTGTTTCTATGATTTGAGTTGAACTCAGTACACTGTTACCCAATTTATTAGTTACTCATCATCTTACGCACCTCTCATCCTTATTACGTAACTCCTTTACCATTGTATGCATACATTTACTTTGTTCAAACTTCAGCTCCCTGTGCAAAAACTACATGAGCGTAATTTTCTGAGCACTGTTCACTAAAACCAGAAGCTTCTATCAACTAACATCATGTAAAATTTGCAAGTATGTTAAAACTTTTCTGTGCATAAACTTAATAATTTATTCAGGTTGTAAGCAGCTGATGAGAAGCCAACAAAATAAATGGTGGTGCCATATTATTCTGCAAAAACTGTTTTTCTTGCTGTATTCAAATTAATAAAGGGGAATAAATGTATGAAATTAAAATACTAGTTAACTTTATGCTGGTTCTTTCTTCTTTTTCTCCTAATAACTTCAGCTGAGAACACGAAGTGTAACATATATATATATATATATATATATATATATACGCTTCCCATTTCACTTAACGTCTTCATGTATTCCCATATAATACCGCTATTATTATAACGGCTTACAGATATCCTATATGAATAGCAAAATAATACCATCCAGATATAGTACTACCCCTTCTATAGTGTTGTCTTTCCATGCACCAGGCAATGAGACACCTTTTGTGCATGATGACTGATGATACTACTCAACTTACCAAGTTGAATTAGGTGGAGGCAGGACTCGAACTCGAAAGCTGTTAGTTGTAAATCGAGTGCTTAAAGCAAATCTTCACAAGTAAATGTACGGATAAATATTTGTTACAATTTGCAGACAAATTCACAAGTTATTATCATCCACAGTTATGTACAAAGTAAACATGAGCACATAAATATGAATTTGTAGACTTAAAACAGAACTGATATAATATCATGTGAATTGACAGAGATAGAAATATCTGTCATTGGTTATCATTGTGTCAAAAACAAAATTGTACTGTCATGGAATTTTTCGTCATATTATAAGGAAAAAAGAATTATTTAAAATAACTCAACTCACCAGGACATAATATATAAACATGTCTTGTTAACAAGATATCTTTGTATTGTGGTCCGCTAACTGAACATTGAATTTGATTTAGACCAATAATATCGAATTGTGAACACTGAACTTGTAAATGTGATATAGTTGTTGTCATATGAATTGTATTCAATGAACTGTTACACCGATCATAACTTATTATATTTGCAGTTGTAGGTGAAATTCCTTTAGTCATTGTCTGAGGCAAGCAATAATAATAATAATAATACATAATAATATAAAACAGAGAGAAATAAAATTAATAATGGTATATTAACAGTAAAAATATGTTAATTTGATACCCTACAGTGATTTCTGTAAAACTGTCTTTGTTTCTTATGTATGCGGGAGGTTTACCCTCAGAAAACATGTGGATTATCATTAATGTCAGTGTACAACATGAATAATAAGAGGCCTGTTAAGTGTTAACATAAACAAAAGGTGACTAACTCATTGACAATATAAAAAGTAATAAGTGAACTAGAATTTGGAGACATCTAATCTAATGTGTTTGAATAATTTCACTAAGTTTTTTTGTACCGATAACCATATTAGGTACATCAAAACCACTACTTAGATTTCTTTTTCATAAAATACTAGAATTAGAATGGTATTCAAATCTATAAAGTCTGTCAGTAACTAGCTTTTATTGACTTACAAATTCTGTAGGTCGGATTAAATTAAGTAATCTAGACAAATCTATTCCAAAGTCCCCAAATTCTTAAGACAAACACGAGGATTATGAAAGCACAGTACTCTGACGGAGTGTGCAACTAATTAGAGCTGAATGTATAGTGAACAAGAGTATACGGTGAAAAAGATGTCATGTGTGATCAAAGAAACAGCACACAAAAAAGTCAGTGAAAATGTCTACCCGACCCCTAGCTTTAATGTTAAGTGAACGCTAAAAATGTTGTTCAGAAGGACAAGGGAAGCTTCACAATTAAACCAAACAGCTTAGACAACACAACTATATCAAAAGTCCACAATATTCAAATGAATAACAGTTTAGTCCTTGTTACAATGACTTATTTTAAAAGGAACTTTTCTCATTCTGAATGAAGAAATAGTAAGCTGTGATACTAAACAAACCAGAATCTAATGATACGTGAAAAGGACAATTGACAAATAAGGACTCGGGACCTGAGTGAAGCAGCGATCTCGTATAGTATCAATGGCGTGTAGTATTTGAAAGTGCTTGAACAGCTAAGTTGCATTCATTTTAGCTAACTACATATAAATACGGTAACAATTTCTACCAATTAAGTATTATTTCTCAACACAATGAGTCTTCAAATAATGACAGATAGAACAAGTTTAAACGTGCTACCTCTCATTACTTAGTTAAAATGAAAATGATCAATGATTACACTTTATGTGAATTTTCGAACAAATAGAGAGTAGATTTTATAACCTACTTATAATCCATTTTTAAAAATTTTGGATATTTTAATTTCTACGCAAAGAATGCTGATCTAGGATATATACACATAAGATACTACTGATTAACTCATTAAAAGATGCCTTTCAGTACTGGTAAATTTAAACTATATATACAAACTGAACTTGGCACATAAAAATACATCAATTGAGGTTGTTATAATTTATTAAGTGCATATAAAGATAGAAGAGAAAAAGATACGCACAAAAACTATAATAAAATGAAGTGTGCAGGATAAGGAGGAAATTACATAGGAAATAATGAAGGTATAATGAGTCTAGGAGAACACAAACAGTGGATACACACCTCTACCTATTGACAATGATCTCTACTTTGTTTTCATAAATCATCGTGACATATACAAGGTGCGAAGGACAACTCCATTACTGAATTGTAACCATTGCCTTTTATGCGTATTTTAACGAAAGTGTATGGGAAGTTACATAGAAGGGCTTTAGTTCACCTAACAAAGAAAATCCAAGAACGATCCTATTCACATGACAATATATGAGTACTGAGATGTATGTTGCACGATACCGACTGGGACCTATTCGTTGATGAAGTGTCAGACGTTAACATCTCTAATATCACCACCTATCTCAAGTTCTGTTAGGATATTTGCTGTCCTACTGAAACACTGTTCATGAGATTCGATAGAATCTCTTCTCAACAACTAAAAGAGCATAGAAGAGAAAAGAGGAATCTGTATCTATCACATGATAACACTGGTGTTTGAAGGATAAACTCTCTGAAATACAAAGACTAAATGGGATATATAGGGAAAGTGTTTTATCATGTAAGAATGCTTCTAACATCTGGAAACTTTTTAATCAACTTACAAGCAGTAAACAAATTTCAGGGGATGCTTATTCTGATGTAAATGCCTTAAATCGATCTTTTATAATGTAACAAGCAAATATGTTTGAACCTGATGTTTCTAGTCACATAAATGATCACTTTCCTGTATTGTCATGTCTTAAATCCATCACACAGCCTGGGTCCCGATAGTGTATCAAGCGTTTTCCTTCAAAAGAATGCTGATATTTTGTGTTATCTTCTTATACAAATCTTTAATGCATCATTTCACAGCGATACAGTACAGGTTGCATGGAAAGAAATAAAGGTGGTGCCTTGACCAAAGTCATCTTCTGGATCAGGTCTAAAGTTTAGGCCAACCACCATCAAGTCCGCATTTTTGAAAAATATAGAGAAACTTCTCTTGTATGTTTTTAAACTTTCTTTGAAATCTTTTAATGACCCAAAGCAGTTTTACTTACAAATGCAGTAGAAGCACATTAGATGCTATCGTTGTACTCCATCACAATATTGTTTCAAGTCTTGATGAAGGCGCAAAGTTTGTTCGAGCCTCCTTTTTAGACTACAGTGCTGCTTTTGACTCTGTTCCTGGGGCAAGCAAGCTGATTTCAGCAAACACTGAGTCCTGGGTCACAAGTTGGCTGTCTTCTTATTTTTTGGGTAGAAGGCAATGTACTGTTTTGAATGGAAAAAGCTCCACTTCTTTGCTAACGGAAACTGGCGTGCCTCAAGACGCTGTACTCTCTCCATTCCTTTTTTCTTTTTACACAACCTTCCATATTCTTCCAAAGCTAACTCCATTAAATATGCCGATGCTCTAACCATTTCTATCCCAGTAGTTTCTGCTTTGGATTGTTCCTATATGAATATGTTCTTGGCAGGAGTTAACAAAAGGTCTCACCTAAATGGTCTTAAAGTGAATCCATCTAAATGTCATTGTTTTTTTTATTTTCAGATCCGAACAAGAAAATTTTTCGTATGACTCATTACTTAAAGAAATTGAGACTTTTTGTCATAACTCAACCTCTTCTCTTAGAATTTGTTAACTCATATATTTTGTCCATTATCCTTTATTGTTCGCCATCATTCTTCCTTGAACTTCTCAAAAAAGACATTATCATACTACGTAGAACACTGAAGGCTAACTGACATTATTGTTAATAAGCACTTAAATTTTTGCCAGCTGTTGGCTAAAATTATCTTGTCTGATGCTGAACGTTCCTTTTATTCGCAACGTTTTCCCTTGTGTAACTCCTAGTAAAACCAGAGGAGATTTCATAGGAATTCACGCTCGTACAACGAAATATAAAAATTCTACCATACCATATTTAGCACGGGCTTTGTGTGAAGAATAAGGCGTCAGAAAAGAACTTGTAAACTTTTTAAATCAGTAATCTGAACTGCAAAGTATACACAAAGATTATTATTATTATATGTATTATCTATCATATTACCTATTTAAAATTCATTGTTTCCACCAACATTGTTATTTTGTCTTTTTATTATTACTTTAGATTTTATGTATGTACATATTTATGAAATTGTTGCAATATGTATAAAAACACTGAAAATTCCATTCTATATAAATATTATTGTTTGGAACAAGGTGATTATTATTATTATTTTTTAACTAATAACCCCAACAGTCACTAACCCTTGACTCTTAATGTCTTGAAGATTACTTCTTGGGTCAAACAAATAGTCAGAGTTCATGAAATGATATCATGCATGTTTTGGTTTAACCAAATCTAACTCTTTCCTAATGCAATCCTACGTCAGCTAACATTGCTCGACGAGAAAGGCAATGGCTTGGCGTGCGTCTCATATGCTCTAGCCATGTAAATCGATGCAGTAGAAGTGTATGGGCAGCTATTACTTCCCAGCTGACCACACAGTGGAGATATTGAAGAGAGAATTCCTTTCTTACTAATGGAATAGGATGAATGGAACAGGAAAACAAGCAAAATGTTTACAGATCTCTTAGTCATAGCACCTCCTTAGGAAAAAGGATTAGAGTGACAATGATTCCCTCCCGATCTGGCGTTACAGAGATGTTGGATTATAAATATAAAGCCGGAAAATCGTTAGTTCAACTCTTAATTATCTTAAAATTTAATCATTAATGCCAAGCCAGCTACTGAAAGCCAGGAAGCAGATGACAATGTATATCTTCTGGTTTAAATTTTTTTACCAAAAGGCATATTGTAAAGGACTACCATCCCAAGAACGGCGAAGTTTCATTAAAAACATCAGTTTGAAATTCATTGGTGTACTTCTCAAAACATCAGCCAATTTGTGACACAGCATGCAACGTACCAACATCAAATTCAATCAATTAAGTAAGTTATAACTCATTAGTACTTTGGATAAACCAACTCAAGGCAAGTGATTACTTTGGTAAGATGCAATTAAGATGACAGTTTCTACCACAGACTAACGTGAACTGTCGGATTTAAAACAAAGCATCAATTGAATATTTATATCTCAGGTTCGAATATTACCTCATTTGTAACTAGCCAGGTTATATTGGCACGAGGATGTCCACAAGTTGTTTCACAGGTAAGTTGTATTCCTAAACCTGGGCGCAAATCATACGGATTTGTACGAGTCCCTAAACCAATATACTGGCTTGGCGGTGTACCAACAACTGACAAAGTTGAGTCCATCCCTGCTGTAGCCAAAGATAATGACGAAGAAGAAGCAGAAGAGGATGAAGAAGCAGAGTGTGATCCAGCTGAAGGAGATGATATTCCAGAAGGTAAACCAAATTCTTTTACAATACTTTCTTTACCACTAGCCATAGGTAAGGCTAAACTTGACACTCCCATCTTTTCTAGTTTCGCCGGTGCTTAAAATCAAAAGAAAAGAAAAATTATAATAGTTTAAAAACACGATGAAATTTATCAACCTTCAATTAAGATTGCAAAACAATTGAAAAAAAGATAATAATTACTTTTCATAGGCTAGTTATTCATTACCTGGGTGTAAAATATCAGCTACTAAAGAAGGGTAGTTTGAAATACATATCCTATTTATCTATCCATATATTCCTTCAGACGACATAATTAAGAAATCAATGTTTCCAATGGAGACAAAATAATAATACTGATACTTATTCAAATAAACATAAAAGCGAAGTGAATCTTTGTTCTGCGCATATTGCTTGGTTAGGAATTTTGGTGTAGAATACATAATTATCGGAAATTAAATGGTAGTATTATATTATTACTTCCTTGGATTCCGAGTGGAACATAGAACTTCAACAACAGATATCCACTTCATCGTCTTTAGCTAGCTCCATGACTGCTCATTAGCTTTCATCTCGTCTTCACACAATCTCTTCTATGTGAGCCACCGACCTACAACCCAAGTTGTCGTTTTCCATTCGGGTTCCACTGCACAGCCTGGTGTCTAATATCCTTCAATCCGTCTCTATTTTTGTCGATATATATATTTATTGGGCTAGAGATCTTTGGTTGGTTGGTTCCCAGAGTTTCTTGCTGCTATTCCTTTCGGGACATCTGATCTTCAGCATACAACGAAGGCGGCCGATGATGAAAGCCTCCAGTCTGTTAGAAATGCTTTTCATGACTTGCCAATTCTCTGAAACACACAGAGGCTCATACTTGACACTAGTATAGAAAACCCAAATCTTGCCCCTTGTGCTAAGTGCAGAACATTGTCACACTGCAATGAATGAAGGAAGATATCTTGGTGTGACTAAAATTGAAATAACCTACCAACAAACCTCGTTGTTTTCGGAGTGTACAAAGAATTATGACCATTAAGACTCAATAAGAATGCAATAAACATGTTTTTGGAAAATGAAAAATACAGAAAAAAAATAGTGAGAAAATCTAGGCTAGTGAATGCTAAAAAGATGTGAACAGAGGGAAAACTATATTTCTTATTCATAGTCAGTTAGAACTCAGTCACTTCAAGAAGATTTCTCGCGTGCCAGGTTATTTGAGCAACACACTGCAGCTGATGAAACTACCCAATTTCCCACGTTGAAGCAGGTAGAGAGAAGTTCGAAGTCGAAACCCATCGGCAAAAAGTCGAATACTTAAGCCAGCGAGGAACATCATCACTCTAGAATTATCAGTGATCAGTGGTGAGTTGTAGGATGTATTCTATCTGTAGAGTGGTTATCATGCTGATTTCTTTTTATGAAACAGAATGAATCCGGAAGCGATGAATGAAAATATGCTCGTATTGAGCAACGACATTTGCATCTTGATGAGACGTTAGACGACATCATGACTCCGTGAAACCACCAGAGATTATGGCTCATTTGGTTGAGAATTCCGACTACCAACTACTAGAGCACAGTTGGAAACTCACAACATCTCCTTCAACACCGTGTACAACCAGATAAGAGAATGTAAAACTGAGATTGGTAAGTTTGATTTGCAGTTCGGTACAGAGGCATACAACAATACACTACTCTTTTGCCTTTAATAGTTTTCTACTTAATATTACAATGATTTGTCGACTACCGATTTTAATAAGACTTCCTTTCTGATTTTCATTCCTAGAAAAATATACAGTTTGAATGCTGACATGAACACAATACTTTTGATGATATCCACCTATTGTCAAATAGACCTATTATGCATATAGTCGCTATGTGCAAATCGGTTTCGGACTATTATATTTTAAATTCTGTCAACTGGAGATTCCAACATGAAGTTCTGATTTCTCATAATGTAAAAGATTCAAATAATCAATCTTTCAAAATTTTTCCTCACTTTTTGGTGTCCCGTAATAAAATTAACCCTGTCAGGTCTCAACCCCCATTACTAGGAAATAGTAATCCACTACCACTACGCACAAACAAAACAGCGGGTTGCTTTTAATTCAGGTCATTAAATGTTTTCCAAAATTTAGACCAAGACTAACTACTAAACTCACACACACACAAAGGATAAACGAAACAGAACAGTTAAGCAGGTGATCATGGAGTAGAATGAAGCTTAGTTACTGTACTCATGGGCCAATAGTTGTGGAGGCGGATTGCCACTATTACAGTAACACTTAAAAAGCTGGTATGCCATATACTATATATAACCCCTTCTAGAAAGCTAATCGAAAAGGTAAACTCATGTATGCCAACAACTAGAGGTTATACTACCTACCGTTAAAAGTATGATAATACTGACAATTACTATTCACATAATAATAATGTATGTATGCGCACAGGTGACATCAGTTTGTGTATTCAAAAATTAAAAGTGAATGTGTCATAAGTTTTATCCTCCAATACTTTTCAAAAGTCTAAGACAGTCAACTTAGTTAGATAATGATAACCAGAACAAATCAGTCAGAAGATGACCCAAATGTCTCTTTACTTCTTTAACCCAATCTTATCAGGACAAGGTTGTTCACCACACATTCCATGTATACTGCCTTACAGACAAGCAGCAATTTAACGAATTCTGGCAGATGGATAGGTGAACTTCTCGTTCAGTAAAGGTTTTCTGTGAATAGATTCTTTCGAAGTCCCATCTTTTTACGACAATTCTACATCCAGAATTGGAATCTTTGATTCTCTTTGGAATGCCCAACCAACAAATTTGTATAGCCTGATACCTGTCAGTCAAAAAGCTATCCCTATAATCTCTTGTTCATCACGTTAAAAAGTTTGGGGCACTGACCACTCAGAAGAAGGGCTAAAAATGGTCTTGACTGAAAAGGAATAACCAGCACGATTTGTGGAGAAAAACAATAGAACCAAAGCCAAAAACAGAAGAATACCGTTTAGCCCCAACGAAGAAACTACACATAAGACTCAACTTTCTCCTGAAGGAGAAAATTAGCGCTAGATATCTTGAAGAAAGTTGACGGTTCCTTAAAACATCTCTTGACAACAGCACTAAGAGTCCTGTTCTCTAGCTGTCCACTGTCTATAAGCAACTTGTTGAACAAACTACCACATTTGTCTGCTTTAGCGTAGGTATATCAATTCACCTGCTCCTGTGGAATACGTATATAGGTCGTTCTATGTACGTCCTTTCAAAAAGAGTTTGAGAACTCTACTCTGCATGGCTGCAATGAGGCTGTTCAATTAGAAGTTCTATAATCGAGCTCCTTGTTAACATCTGTCACAACATCTCAAGTGAATCGTCATTCAAAGTCATTCACAAAGCAAAAGTGACGACAGTTTGCTTCCAACTTCTTCGCACTGCAGACACCATGCAGAAGTCGTGTTTGCTTTCTTTTCGTTTAGATATTTTAATCCCCACCTTTTGTTTCCACCTTCAGGAACAAATATTATTTCCATCTGCAAAGCGGTTTATGACTATTATATTTTAAATTATGTCAACTGGAGATTCCAACATGAAGCTCTGATTTCTCATAATGCAAAAGATCCAAATAATCAATCTTTCAAAAATTTTCGTCACTTTTTGGTGTTCCATAATAAAAAACAACCATGTTAGAATTCATGAGCCATTAAATCGGGTCCCAGTAGCTGAATGGTATACGAGCTTGCCTTGTAACCGGAAGATCCTCGGTTCGAACCCCAATGGTTAAATGCTGCCGATGATTTCCAAACTTGGATGAAACAGCTGTCTAGTACTCCTTGGTTTTCAATGGTTCTCTAGGTGATATCAATTCGTGGTCAATCTCATATAAACAAATCTTATCCTTGCATATCAAACTCTTGAAAATATCTTGATTGTGTCATTTTTAAGTATGGACTATTCTGCATATTTCGCAACTATATTTGTAATCCTGTATTATTTTTGTTTCTATGCCGCTTGTGAATAATATTCATCTCTAGTCACACTTGTAAGTCTTTCTATCCAGGTTGAAAAAATTATTATATCCTTGAAAATCTCACCTTTTCATTATGCAAATTAAATGGTAATTATAACTACACTAACATACAAAACGAAAAAAATGTTTATAAAATACTAAAGTACAGCCATTGAGAATAAAATTGCTAAAATTCCTGCCTTCGCTCTTATGTCCACTTACATACTTCCCACTAGTTAAATTATTTCGATGGTAACACCAATGCAGTTGCTAAATCACATTGCTCCCCCCTATGGTATGTTCTCTTTTAAACTGATTATACCTAGCTCTCTCTGTATGCTATCATTCAAAGGGTATGTGGTGAACAACCTTGTCCTGATAAGATTGGGTTAAAGAAGTAAAGAGACATTTGGGTCATCTTCTGACTGATTTGTTCTGGTTATCATTATCTAACTAAGTTGACTGTCTTAGACTTTTGAAAAGTATTGGAGGATAAAACTTATGACACATTCACTTTTAATTTTTGAATACACAAACTGATGTCACCTGTGCGCATACTTACATTATTAGGTGAATAGTAATTGTCAGTATTATCATACTTTTAACGGTAGGTAGTATAACCTCTAGTTGTTGGCATACATGAGTTTACCTTTTCGATTAGCTTTCTAGAAGGGGTTATATATAGTATATGGTATACTAGCTTTGGGAGGGGAGTTTATTTCACACTTTTGTTATGTTTTGCCAACTAATTTGACCTATGAGGAGATTTCTTCATTCCTTGCGTTCTGAATGGAAAATAAAGTTTCAAACCTATTTTCCTGGGGTTGTTTGGTTTACGGAAGGGTGACACTAACATCACGTCCAACCTTCTTCCTTTCCCGGGTTCAGGACCAACCGGTAAATTAGACGCAGTTTTATGAGGAGATAAAAGAAACTAATGCGTAGGATAATTATTTTATCCAAAATATTACATGGAGTTATTGTTATTACAACTAGGAGACTTAGCAATGAGCTGACATGCAAAATAACAATACTGGAGAATAGTAGACCATAGCGAGTTTGTGTGTGTGTGTGTGTAGACATCACCAG